CGCTGCCCCGGCCGCCGCGGCTCCCGGGGCCCGCGCTGCGCGACGCGCTGCCGGCTCCGGCTTCAGGAACGGCTCGGTGGTGCCGCACCAGTTCATGATGTCGCTTTACCGGAGCCTGTCCGGGAGGGCTCCGGCCGGGGCAGCCTCCGCCTCCACCTCGGGCTCTGGCCGCCACGGCCGCGCGGACACAATCACCGGCTTCGCAGACCAGGCGACCCAAGGTACTCACGTCTCTACTGCGCCCGTCCATCCTGTCCGGTCCTAGGCTGAGGCCGCAGCCGAAGCCATGCCCCCGATCGATTCCATTCGGGGCGCGGCCCCCGCACGTCCCAGCCTCAGGTGGTAGAAGGAAACTTCGCCGAGGCCCACGCACCCGAACCCGCTGCGCCTGGACTGTGGCGAGAGCCGCGGCAGCTCGCGGGGCGCGGCCCCAGAGGGCTGACCCGGTCTCTCTGCCGAGTTGCCCGGGCCCTGCCGGCTGGCGGGTCCCCTCGAGGAGGCAGGCTGAATTGGAGATTAGAGAAGCAAGGAGGTGTCCGGCCGAGAGGGACCGCGCAGTGGTAGTGGCGGCGGCTGCCGCTTGCGGCAATCTCTGCAGCTCCCAGGCCCGTGGGGGCCGCACAAATTGGGGGAAAGACAGGGGAATGCAGGACAGAGGCAGGCATCAGACTAAAGTGAATGACCCGGAGAGGCTGGTGGCATAACCAGGTAGAAGGATGGCCCTTCTCAGCAGGCTGCGTCTGGGTGGACGTGTGTAGCTGTGGGTGCCCTGCCTTGGGCTGGGCCCCTGGGAGAGCCAGAGGTCGAAGACTCGGGTTGTGTGGGGAGGAAAGGAGGGCCAGCGGCCGCGCAGGAATGCAGGCGTCTCTCTGACCAAGCGCCCCACCTTACTCCACCCTGGGCCCTCCAAAGGTAGGACGTGGGTGAGGCCGTGGTGGTTGCTGTGTGTCATCTGGATTTTATTAATCTCTATTGAAGTCATTAGAGCAGACAGATAGGGAAAATTTAACTAATTTCAGGCGGAAATGCAAGTAATTTCGGCCTTAATTCTATCCAGCCAGAGACCCAGTGTGGAAGGGAGGAGGAGAAGAAAGGCGAATATTGTTGGAAAGTAAGCGCTGCCCCCGTCGGGCCCTGCGTGGGAGCCCCTGAGGGCCTTACACCCGAGATAGCCTGGGAGAGCAGACAGAGGCGGCAGCCACCCCCTCCAGCACACACACAACGCCTACACACAAACATCTTTATTTCGGGTGCAGGGACATCCTGGGCCCAAATGGCCCTATAGTCCAGTGGGAACTTTCAAGCATTCTCTGAGGGCCTGGCGTGCCCCCTGGACTGCATGCTGGGCTACTCACAGGAAGCCGGAGTCCTGGCGTACAGGGCCAGGGAAGGCCCCAGGCCTAATGCTGCTTTGCGGGCTCCCAAGCTATGGGAGAGGTGCTTTGTGCAGGGCGCTCAGCTGGCAGAAGCACCAGTGCTCTTTCTTAGGTCGCGTGAGGCCTGGCATAGCCTCAGCCTGAGCTAAATCCTGTCCTGGGGAGCTCTGCTAGGCTGGGAGGCTAGTAAGGCCGCCTCTCCTTCCTCCCTCTTGGGGCTTGGGGGATACAGGGACAGCATGCAGAGGCAGGGAAAGGCCACAGAGGAAACTCAGAGAAAGTGCTCCACCAAGCAAGTCCTGGGGAGGAAGCAATGGGGGGAGGCGCACTAGCCCAGAGCCTCTCCTGTCACCTTCCACCCCTCCACCCCGAGCCACAACGTGGAGCAGAGCTGCCTGAGGTCTCCAGAGGCCACCGGCAGCGCCCACACTTCAGACCTCAGGAATCGAGGGCCTGGCGTCCGCGGTTGGTGAGCAAATCTCCAGTGGTCGGGGGAGTCTGCAGTCTCTCCGAGTTTGGGGCAAAACGAAACCATATGACCCTCTTCAAAAGGAGCTCCTTATCTGCTGCTTGGTGGAATTTCAGCTCTTTTTTTTCCTGAGCACATAAAGAAAAAAGTCCCCACGACCAGAAATAAAATCTCAAAGCCGGAGATAAGTCATAAAGGAGGGAAAGGATAAGCCAGAGAAGGGACCGGCGGGTCCTGGAGGCGAGACCTCACTCGGGCCGCTGCCCTCACTGAAGCAAGGCAGTCCCGGGCTGCCCCAAACAGTTCCCAGAGGGTTCCTGGCGCTCCTTTGCCGCCTTTCCCCCTCCATCGGAGGTCGCGGAGACGCTGGGAGTAGCTGAGCCTGGAGTTCCCGATCGCGACCAGCAGCGCTCACGGCCATGAGACCTTGGGGAGCCAGAGCCCTCTCTGGGCCTCAGTTCCCCTTCGGCAAAGCGAGGAGGCTGGATGCACCAGAGGGGCTCTGCAGCCCTGCTGACGCGTTCCCCTTCTGGACGAAGCGCAGGGCCCCAGGCTGCATGGGAGTCCGCGGCCGGCTGGAATGTCCAGGCGGGGCTGGGGAATAGAGGTAGCAGAAGGAGCCGAGTTTCGGGGGGGACATGAATTTTCCATTTTCGCACAGCCGGGGCTCCGCGGCTCTCCCGGGGGCTCAGCAGGGCAATAATGAGCAGTCCCCGTACAGCTGGGCTGTTTGCAGGTAGGAGGCCCCGCGGCCGGGAGTGCGGGCTCTGCTCTCACTCCGCTTTCTCTCTCCTTGTCTCTGCCCATCCCCCGCAGACGAATCGGCAGCCGAGACCGGCCAGAGCTTCCTATTCGACGTGTCCAGCCTTTCCGACGCCGACGAGGTGGTGGGCGCGGAGCTGCGCGTGCTGCGCCGCGAGTCTCCGAAGCTGGGCTCAGGCAGCGCGACTCCGCCGCCGCTGCTGCTGCTGTCCACGTGCCCCGGGGCGGCCCGCGCGCCGCGCCTGCTGCACTCGCGAGCCGCCGAGCCCCTGGACGGCGCGCGCTGGGAGGTGTTCGACGTGGCGGACGCAGTGCGGCGCCACCGCCGGGAGCCGCGCGCCACCCGCGCTTTCTGTCTCTTGCTGCGCGGAATGGCCGGGCCGGCGAGGGGCCCGCTGGCACTCCAGCTGCTGGGCTTCGGCTCGCGGGGTGGAGGCGGCGCCGCGGCGGAAGAGCGCGCGCTGCTCGTCGTCTCCTCCCGCACGCAGAGGAAGGAGAGCCTGTTCCGGGATATCCGAGCTCAGGCCCGCGACCTCGGGGCCCCGCTGGCCGCGGAGCCACCGCCCGACCCGGGACCCGGCACCCGCTCGCCGAAAGCGGTCATCGGCGGTCGCAGGCGGCGGCGGACAGCGCTGGCTGGGACGCGGGCGGCGCAGGGCAGCGGCGGGGGCGCGGGCCGGGGCCACGGGCGCAGGGGTCGGAGCCGCTGCAGCCGGAAGCCGCTGCACGTGGACTTCAAGGAGCTGGGCTGGGACGACTGGATCATCGCGCCGCTGGACTACGAGGCGTACCACTGCGAGGGCGTTTGCGACTTCCCGCTGCGCTCGCACCTTGAGCCCACCAACCACGCCATCATTCAGACGCTGCTCAACTCCATGGCGCCCGACGCGGCGCCCGCCTCCTGCTGCGTGCCCGCGCGCCTCAGCCCCATCAGCATCCTCTACATCGACGCCGCCAACAACGTGGTGTACAAGCAGTACGAGGACATGGTGGTGGAGGCGTGCGGCTGCAGGTAGCAGGCGGGCCAGGCCGGGCCAGGGAACCGGCAGCCGAGGACCCCTTGCTGAAGAGCAGCAGTGGGCCAGGCCTGTCGTCGCCAAGCGTGGATGTGCGTCGGGCTGTGGCCTCGCGCACGCACGGAAGAGGGAGAGCACACGTTCACACTCACACCCGCACGTTCACTCATGCACACATTTTCCGTGGAAGCGTCCGAAAGACCTGGGAAGAGATGACCTGCCGCTACTGAATGTCACAGCCATGTATAGTCTGCCAACAGATCACCACTGCGCCCTCTGCCCCCTTTTGGGGAGATGATGGTGTTTGTGTCAATGTTAGAATAACAGGCACTAAATCAGGTAGAAACAGGTTAGGGAATTGGGGGCTCCAGAATGGGTGAACTAAAGAGGTACTTGCTTTTTTGTTTCTGGCCGAGTGTGGGGCCTGGCCGGCTGGGTGGCTGAGTTCCCTGTGTTGCACCTGGGTCCGACTGAAGGGCTGCAGTGCCCTTTCTGAGGGTTCACGTCACACCGAGGTCACTTACTCTGGGAAGGAGTTGCTCCTACAGGCCTTCCCTCTTTTCTTTAACTTTTAAAATCTAACGTGCTCCCTCAGTTTTGAGAAGGAACATTTGTCTGAAAGAATGCTTTGTGGAGCTTCCCAGATCTCTGCAAAGATCAGCATCACCCTTTTTATCAGTTCCGATTGGGAATGATCTAGAAATTGGAGAAAATATTTTTCTTTTGCGGGGAAGCGAAATGGAGAGGCTTTAAACTGTGAGTCTGAGCTGATGGGAAATTGGGGGCTGGGTAGCATCTGCCAGGTTCTGAAGCTCATAAGCTGGGCAGCCCGAGGTGGTGGCAGTGCCTTGGGGGCATGCAGGAGGAAGCTAGTGCAATGGCTGGGAATGGGGAGAGGTGGGCAGCTATGGCTTTTTCCAGAGATCTGCCAGGAAGTTTTCCTAAGGAGCTGGCGAAGCCCTCTTTCTCAGGGCTTGAAAGAGGCAGGGAGGTGTCCGGGGGCCGGCTCTTGCAGAGGACTCAGGCTTCTCTGCCAGGTAGGCACAGCCTCTCCAAATGGCATACTCAGAGTGAGCCCACGTGTGCTTGTGCTTAGCTATCAAGTCTGTGTCAGCTGTTACATGCTTTCACTCTGTTGTTGCTGTAGTTTTGGCAGTGTGATAATGGGAAGTGAAGCCACAGAAAAGTGCTTTTGTGAGCAGAGCAGCAGGAAGGTCTGCCCCTCCCCTCTTGCTCTGTGAAGGGGCATTTGCAGCTTGGCTGCTGTGACCCCTTCAGAAGGGCTGGGCCTTGGTGTGCAGGAGCCGAGGTGGAAGCCTGACCCCGAGTCCCGGTATGTTGTCCCAGAGAGTCTTGTTGATGGTAGGATTGCCTGTCCATGTAAAAGGGAGGTCGAACATGCCAGCCTTCGTTGTTTTATTTGGTTCATTTCTGCCTGGGAGCCCTTTGTGGCCTTGTGTAAATGGTTGGGAGGAGGAAGTTGGATTCCACCTGTCTGGGGCTCTGAGGGCTTCTTTGAAAGACCCTGCAGTCCCTGTGGGTGCTCCTGGTTAAGGCTGTGCCCGGCTTTCTCCTTCAGATCCCCTAGAGGCAGGCATCCCCCCCTTCTTGTCTTGGATGCTAAGGTCCAGGACGACTTATACAAATTTTAATTCTCAGTGATTACACTCTTGAGAGAGAAATATGATTTAGATCAGGGCCCCACCTGAGTCCTTTTTATGCTATAAAATTCTCCCACAGGAAAAGAAAACACATTTATAATTTGAATTTATATGCTGTGGTGATGTGAGTAGCTGTAAATACCAGAAAATGCAACAGTCTCTTCAGGTTAAAACAAAAAAAGTCCAGAACTGGCTGCTCTGGTGCACGTCCATCCAGTGTCAGTCACTGGACAAGGATGGTCCTGTTCCATTCGTGGATCTTGCCAGAGAAGCCTCACTCGGCTTTTCTGAACTATGATTCTAATATTAGAATTAGAATTAATTCTAATTAATGCATGGTGATTGCTCTGATACCTGTCACCATGAAGAATTTAAAAAATGGCACTAAAGTATTAAAAGTTGTAGTATTAGAAGTTTTAGAAAAGGAGTTAATGAAAAACTATAGCTAAATATTATTTTGAGGAAGTTCTAGGGTATTTAATATCTTTGGACAAAAGCAAATATTTTGATACTTTTTCAGTGACTAAGAAAAACAGGTTTTTTGAAAGAAATGTTTTGAGTTACCCTGAGCTTTTCATGGCAGGAAAAAAATGTCCATTTTCTGTTTTCTCCTGATGACCTCCTCCTTCTACCAAGGTGTGTTGGAACTGACGTAGGAAGTAGGATGCAGCTGGGGCGTATTGTTCTCAGCCAGTGACTTTTCCTTCCATGGCCCCTGATGCCCTCAGTGTGTTCTTTGTTTACCAAATAAAAGGACTGCCTCCTGGATTTCCTCTGGAGCTGCGTGTACCACCAGGGACCACCAGTGCCCTGCTCCTACTCTGCCCACCCGTCTGGCATCTCAGAGTTAAAAGTAGGTGAATGGAGAGGATGTGTTTCACTTGTAAAAATGACAGCAAAAGGGCCACCACCAGTGGAGGCAGACAGGTTTTTGCTGCTATCACGTGGTTTGACTAGCTTTACGAAGATGTAGAGAAAAGGATTCTGCCAGCACGGTTGGTAGTGTCCTGCACTGCCTGCCTGTCTTCTAGGCAGTGGGGAGCAGGGCCGAATCACACAGCTGGAATCTCCAGTCCCCACCGATGGTAGAGCTGGCTGCTGACAAGCAGGATAAAGTGTGTCAGGACTGTGAGTGAAGGCAGCTCTTCCCCGAGACCCCCACCTGGGGTCACCAAAGCATTCCTCCTGAAGTAAATCGAATTTTCCATTTTGTTGGGGGAGAATCGTGCACTACTAGTTGAGATCATTTCAATCACTCTCTCTGCTGGAGGGGAGGGTTTGGCATCCCTGCTTGGGGAGCACAGGGCAGGTCAGCTAGGGCCCAGGGGGCTGGTGCTGGGTCTGCCAAACACCAAGACTGACTGGTCACTGCTGCTGGAAGGCAGACTTCCGTATTAAGGGAGACCCCTATGCTGGCAGGTGGCCACGTCCACTGATGCCCAAATGCCTGCCTGGTTGAATTCTGGCTTTCCAAGCAACGGGGCTGGTCCTCTGGAGGGGGTGGCAGGCTTCGTCGTCTTAGCTTGGGCACACAGGCTTGAGTTGCCATTCGTTATGCACGTGATCCCCTTAGACCCACTGTCCTGGCACTTTATTGCTAAAGCGTCAGGGGAAAGAGAGGAGGTGTGGATGGTGTGATCGTTGAGTCAAACCCATGAACCCCACAGCAGTGACTTCTCCCCTGCGGCTGTGGAGGTGTCAGCGGGAGCAGGGACCTTGCTATCAGTGCTCAGGAGAGTAGTGACCACCCTGTGGATGTAATCGGAGTGTAACTCAAATCCTACAAGTCATATAGTGTGTGCAATTTCATTCAAACTCATGGCAGAAAATAACCAGGGACTGTAGGCTGATTTTCTTTTTAAAGCAGGGAGAAAAACTGAATTCTTTCCAAGAGCAGCTTGTGCACAGAAAAAGTCAGACTCTTCCCTTGCTTGAATCTGGTCTCCAGAAAACCCAGGGAGAGGAATAGAACGCACTACATCTGTCTCTGGGCCACAGACGTCATCGCGGGCCTTGCTGATTCTCCTGAGAGCATGTCTTGAGGGATACAGAGCCTTCCCCAGGCCTGGAAAGCAGGGCCCTCTCAGTGGGCTGCGGGCCAGGGGGCCTCAAGTGGGATACCAGGTGGGCTGGGAGGACCGAGGCTCTGGAAAGCAGCAGTCTGTCAGAGGGAGCGAAGGACCTGCGTTGTCCCCTCAGAGGGTGTCTGGACTGGGAAGGAAAGAGAGGAAGCAGACGAGTGAACCCCGCAGTTAGAAACATTGGGAGGGAGTGGGAGGTAACTAGAACCCTCTGAAGTGTGCCTGAGCAGCGCCAGAGTCTGAGTCCTCTCTGGGCTTCTGCGTGCCAGGAGGGAACTGCCCCCCAGCATGGCCTGCTGCCTACCCACAGGGAGGCTGCTTGGGCGCCAGGCTGAGCGGGGTGTCTTCTGAGCTGCATATGCAAATAATGGGCATCCCCTCCCTGCCTGGAGCTGCAATATCTGCCCCGGGAAAAGGGGGAGCTCTCCAGGCCCATGGTTCAGGGATTCTACTTTGTCCAAAAAGCCCACTCACACAGTGCAAAGGCAGAGCAAATGTGACTGCTCCTGGAAAGGTTCCCTCTGATCCCAGTGCCAGAGCCACCTCTCACAAGTGTTGTCGCTCTTGCTTGTGTGTGTGCCTGTGAGAGTCCATTATACTCTTGGCCTCTGCTGGTGCTTCGGGGATGTTGCTTCAATTTCTACCTGGGGCAAGGCAAGTGCGGGGGAGGCCAGGATCTCGGGGTTAGTGCTCAGCTCACCAAAGCCACGACCTTTCCTGTGTCCCAGCTGAGGGGCACTGCCAGCCCAGCCCGAGTTCCCCCTGTGCTCACACAGGGGTCGGTAGGGCCACACTCAGGCTGGGATTGTTCTGTGACAAGTCCTGGGAAGGCTCTCGCCTGCTGCTGGTGCCTCTATGGGAGCAGCAGAGGAAAGAAAAGGCTGTGCCTTGTTGGCAGCCCAGACAGGGACTGGGACTGTCCCAGAGTCCCTGGACAAGGCAAGCAAGCCTGTCTAAGGGTGGACTGCTCCACCAGGTCCTCAGCAGTCCCACCGCCCCCTCAGCCACCTCATCGCCACGCCCGCATCTGGTCCAGCTTGCCGGGGGAGTGACGCAGGGGCAGGGATCAAAAGAGCTTCTCTTTCTCTCCTTTTTTTTTACTGAGGAAGATTCGCCTTGAGCTAAGATGTGTTGCCAGCCTTCCTCTACTTTGTATGTCAGTCGCCGCCACAGCATGGTTGACAAGTGGTGTAGGTTCGTGCCTGGGATCCGAACCTGCAAACCCAGGCCGCCGAAGCAGAGCATGTCGAACTTTAACCACTCAGCCACAGGGCCGGCCCCATTTCTCTTTTTTCAATGGCCTGGAAAATGGTGGCAGAGTTTAACATTAAGAAACACTAAAAGGGAGGAGTCAAAAGACGTTATTGCTAATTTTTCAGACAGCTCGGCCTTTTGCACCTGGAGCCTTCTGGCCATTTAGGCTGGAGCAGCCTTCCTCCCTTTGTGCCTTTCTGGACTTTAATCTTGCCCAGAGCTTAGAACTGTACAAACAGTTAAATGCCCGTGAGGATCTAGGTGAGAGAAGCCTGTTCTTTTCAGGAGGGCCACACTTCCAGTGTGTGGAGAGTCCCCTACGTGGACGTAGCTGCAGGGAGAGGTTGCAAGTTGGTTTAGGAAATTGGTGGGGGTACTGAGGGCTTGACATTTGCTGCGTGGGCTCTGATCATTCGTTCAGGGATGCTCTCTGCTTATGATGTTCACGCACCCAGCCTCACCAGAGCTTGGCTTCCTCCCACCCACCCTGCAATCACCGGTGTGGGTGCTGTGCTTAAAGCGGGCCTGGGACTTGGCCACAGGCCTTCTGGCTGGGCAGAGTTTGGGTTGGTGCTTCACGGTGACAGCAGTTACAGCTGAGCATCCCAGGAAGGGTGGAGTTGAAGAGTGTGAGGTCATTGAAAAATTGCTCTGCATTTCAAGTCATGCTTATAGTTGTTGAAAAGTACAAATACAGCCTCCGAGCAGCACAACCAGCGGGCGATGGTCCTCTTCCCTCGCCTGTGCAGACCTCCCAGGAGCAGTCTTGTGGGCCCCTTCTAGCATCTGTGTGAGTGTGTGCATCTGTGCTGGCAAAAGAAAGGACTGGTTTCTCTCACACACATCCCCCTACAATGGCAAGAGGGCTGCAGTGTTCGTGGAAACATCCCGAGAGAGGTGTTTCTGTGGTCCGGTGAGTCTGCTGGCAGGCAGCTCAGTGTGCTGCTGTGTGAAGCACGGTTTCCACTCTTTTTTGCCTGATGAACAACTTCTGCTAGTGTAGAAACTCTTCATTCCAGAGAGGGTCAGCTGAGAGAAGGTAGTACAAAAACTTTTTATCCTTTTTCTCAGTCAGTAACAGGATGCTGAAATAAGTTGTCTAGAAAAACAAGGAAAAGCTTCTGACGGTCAAGTCCCAGCCATCTTTAGGCCAGCTGCTTTGCTTCTGCACGTCAATTTCACTACCTTTTGAGCTGTTGGCACACAGGCGCATGGTGCGGTTGTGGCTGGAGATCTGGCCAGGCAGGAGGTGGTAAGTGGCTGCCGTCTTCTTTGCCGAATCATCTCTGCTGCTCCATCTGAACAGCAT